GCATCTCGGTTTCAGTCACTTTCCCACCACCATGAGGTTTTTCAATGTGCATTTTCTATAAATACTTTCATGGTAATTGTTCGGAGGATCTCATCAATGTCCCTAGACTTGGAATTTAAGAGAAGTACTAGTCTAGTGACGAGGTCACACCAATTCACAATTGAGCTGGCTATATGCAAACGTAAGTTCTATGCTAACAGTTTCTTTTCTCGCACTACTGGCTTGTGGAACTCCTTTCCAGCTCCATGCTTTCCAGCCAACTTTTATTTGGAAAATTATCTGCTGTCCTCCTATTTACTCTTCCACACTTCTTAATGGTCCTGTTTCTAACTCTTCCACACCCAGTAACCCCTTGTGTCTTAGTGGCTTTACTGCCTTTCTTGGTGAGAACTTGATTAAAATAATAAAAAAAATGTATCTGTTGTTTTTGTCGAGAACTATCGATTTTCTCGTTCAAATTCAATAGCTAAATGTTATTAGCATCGTAGAGAAAATTTTTGTTAATTACATCCCACCAACATGGAGAGTTTACATCGAATTTTCATCTGCATGTGCAACAACCTATTCAAAAATTGAAAAAATACAATTTAAATATGAAACAGACAGTTTTGCTTGTTTATCGAAGTTAATAATACCTGTCCGAAATTATATTATTATATATATATATATATATTAACGCTGAACAAATTATGAAAATAAACAGTAAATCGACGTATATTAAAATATAACAAATCTAGTATGAGCTTAACATTATATATATATATATATATATATATATATATATATATAAAGATAAAGATAAAGAAAAATAGGAAACGTATATCAATGTAACAAGTTTCACTTTTATTATAGCTTCGTCAGAGATTGAGAAAAAACAGACAAAATGAAAGAAACACTGGAATTTTCAGTTTTGTTTGGATCGATTCTCATTGGTCAGTCACATATACATGTATTACAACCGTAGATAATTCTATATGTATGCACGTTTGTTAAGATTCTTGTATGTCTAAGCGGGTATCGGATAGTAATGTGTATTCGTAATTGTGAATTTGTGACATACAAGTATCTTTACAATCTTACATGCATACAGAATTATCTACGGATTTAGCGCACGTGATACGTGACTGACCAATGAGAACTGGTCCAAACAACATTAAAAATACCAGTGTTTTCTCTCGATCTCTGATGAAAGTTTAATAAAATTGAAACATGTTAGAGTGGTATACGTTTCCTGTTTGTTCTCGTTGTTTGTCATCCTGTCAGATTCTAATCCATATTTGATCTGCATTTGATTTTCAACTTATATATATATATATATATATATATATATATATATATATATATATATATATATATATATTAATAATAATTATTGTATATACACATGATTATATACTTTTATACGTACGTATTTATTGATAATTCATAATCATTTATAATAATACATGAGTTAATCTACGAATGGCCATTTGCAGACTGTAAAAATAATATATCTATATAAAAATTTTGATAGAGGAAAATACAGTAAATATCCATTTTATTCGTCGTAAACTTGGTCTGGAGATCGCACTGAAACGCGAAACTGGCAGACACCATGATGTGTCTATTCTCATGTCCACACTTTCTATACTTATAAAGGCTCTAATTCTGATATTGAACAAACTTCTCCTATAAATATAGTATATTTTAAACAATATATATGGGAAAACGATTTTTATATATCAATAACAATTTTAGGAGAGAAAAAAGCATGAAAAAGTAGAAAATGTTTTCATGTGATGCGTTTTGTCCTTTAAGATATCATTACACTAAAGTGGTGTTTACATTAATGTCACTACACACTGAGGAAACTTATGGAAGGTACTTTAATTGCTAGATCATCTATAGTCCAAGTTCTTACAACATTTAACCTTTCTTGGCAGATGTTTTATTATCACAATGTGGGGTATTTAATGACAAAAATGATAGAAACGTGATCAAAAAGAAAAAGAAAAAGAAACGAAATCGTCTAGACTATATATATTCAGAACATAAGCCTAAAATAAAAGAAATTAAATTTGAATATAAAATTCTCAACGTCCCATTCCTTCGTGCCCAAGTATAGCCGGCATCAATATAAACATCAATTTAGTCCGATGAAATCCCAAATGACAAAACTCATCACAGAAAATCTTTTTTCAATTTTGTCATAGATTTTTCCCTAAAATACATAGATACATACATATATATGCAGTTTTAAATATACGCCAAGCCTTTTCAAATGAAAAAAAAACAATACCTTAAAAACATCATTCTAATTCTTGTTGACATGTGGACTCACAGACAGAATAATGGCAAAATTTTAAAGATTTTATCTACCAAGCAAGCACAGATAGATAAATAGATTGATAGATAGAACACTACACACATAATATAAATCTGAAGTATTATATAACTATAATTCAAAATTCTCGCATCTAATATATATATATGTGTGTAATAAATATATATACATCTATATATATATATATATATATATATATATATATATATATATATATATATATATATATATATATATATATATATATATATATATATACTGAATTAAATCTAACTGGTTTGTGCAATGTGAAGTATGAAAAGAACAAGGGTACCTAAATCATTTCATTGGTCAATTCACTAAGTGAAACTTCTTTCTTTCATTCAGTTCATTTTTTTTTTCGTTGCAGGGATTCAGGGTTATTGAGTACCAATTGTTAATGCACTGATCGCGCCTACTTACCCTCCGCTTCTATCTTACCAGATCGATAACTGGTTATTGAAAGAAGAAAAGAAAAAAAGGCTCACCAAATATAGATAAGACATTTTAAATCCGAATGAAATTATTTTAGCTGAATTCATCGGATAGACACATTTGTCTTTCTTTCTTTTTCATAGGCTGTTCGTTGGAGGGCTTTTATGCGTATAAAATACAAATAAAGTTATCTAATCTACATGCGATCAGACCAAATAACCCACCATTATTTTTCTTTTAAAGTGAGGGATAGGAAAATGACATTTTGCACCCATGTAATTAACATGGGATTTTTCGATGTGATTTTTTTTTTTACAAGCTTAACTAATTTTTTTTAGAAGTGATATTATAATTGAAAGAAATTTACAGACAATTAAACACATTCTTGTTTTTGTCTCTCTTCGTTTTTCTTTCTATTTGCTTTTACCAGAACGTTTCATTTGGTCCATTTTACGACATTTTTCAGTACTTGTATGAAAAATATAGTCTCTTTTCTTTTTAATTCCTCTTTTTTTGTAGTACAATGCAAAAACAAAAACAGCAATCTATAAATATGTTTTTAAAAGGGAACTGAGAACAGCTCCACGTTTAAAATTATGGAACAAACTGTTTTTTGTTGTCGTTTTTTTTTCTTTATTTTTTGTTTTTTTAACAGGCGTTTTTCTCATTGTAACTATTTTTTGCTTTGCACTATAAAAAAAGTGACCGTCTTTCTTCATACGGGTGGTACACCTACAGAAGACCATAGATTTGATCGGCCGAAACATTGTGTGAGCAACATAAGTCACCCCACACACACATACAAGAATGAAAACCTCTTTGAAAGATTAATGTTTTTTCCGACAAATGAAACATGTAAATACTAACCGGTAGATATGGGCAAAGGTTATACGCTTAAAAATTCTTCGCAGCTGCCAATTTATTGAAAATTACAAAGTTTTCGTTTCTTGCCAAACATTTAGGAGTCAGTTTGTACTTTATTGATTAGCAAGACAAAATCTACCAATAACTTATATTTTTTTTAGTTACTTATAATCAGAGTAATACAACGCCTAGATTCGAACTTACAATATCTGTCTACCAGATTAGTTTACTATCACTCAAACTACGACATCCGTTCATTGATAGTAATCTAGGTAATTCCGTGTAGGCTACAAGGTCAAGATAATTTGGAATGTGGAGAACTTAGGAAATTTCTTGATTTAGGCAGCAACCATTGTAAAAGGAAAAAGTTAGAATATTTAATAAGAGGGGTGAATGGAATAAGAACGTCCCCGGTGAATTTTTCTCCAAAAAAAAAAAAAAAAATGTATATTCATCCCGTCCCGTCTATTTGAAATTTGAAGGTAAATCAATTCTGTGATTTTTAGTCTTTGAATTATATGGAATATCGCTTTCATTTCTCTGTTTTGTTTTGTTTTTTTGTTTTTACTTTTTAATTGGCCGTTTATAGAAGATAAAGAAAAGAAAAGACACGAGATGAAAAAAAAAAAAAAAAAAAACCTCAGCACCATATTTACCGTTTTTTTTTGTCTCTTGATTAATGTTTCTTACTCTTAATAGATTATTTAATTAATTCGGTGTTACCCGATTGCATTTGTGACTTTTACTCTTTTGTAAGATTTATAAATGCATACCAACGCACACAATCGCGCGTAAACACATACAAACACAGAAACACTTTATATATATATATATATATGTGTGTGTGTGTGTGTGTGTGTGTAAATATTTTCAGATGTAGTATATCTGTAGAAGAGACATAATGAATGAAAAGACAAGAGGAAAACTATACAGCTTTAGCGTCGGCTAAAAACTAAATATATTTGTTCTCTTCTCTTCATTCATATATATATATATATATATATATATATATAGATAGATAGATAGATAGATAGATAGATAGATAGATATTAAAGTTAGAAATAATTGTTCTTTTGCTCGATTCTTACTTGATTTTCTATAAATTGTGAAAAAATAGTTATACAAAACGTATATATATATATATATATATATATATATATATATATATATATATATGCCAAACATATATAGTATCTAACAATTATTTTTTCTTAATTACAACTTCGACAGTTTGATGCTATGCTTGTGGCCAGAGTTGTTCTTGTTGATGTTCGTAAGGGTATTGTTGTTTTTCCCATCCATCCTTGTTTTTCCCTTCTTTTTACACACTGGGTCTGTATTCACCGTCTTCCCGTTCAACCTTGTGTTTGTCTTTGCTATGGCGAGCCACAACAACGGGTACTGGTGAGTGGTGGACAATGTAGTCGCTGACGCTGCCCAAAATAGTGCGACGAATCTTTCCTTGGCCGCGCGTTCCTGTGACTACATACGTTGCCTTCACTTCATCAATCATGGACACAACTCCGTGTCCAGGCTTCGAACAGTTGACCACACGGAACTTGCCGTTGATCTAAACAGCGTGAAAAATACAAATAAATAAACTCATTAGATTCATACAGAAATCGTTTCAGAAAGAAATGAAAAAAAAAAATCTGCAAATATTTCGAAAGTATAAAGAGAAAATGAAATTTGATTGAAAAGAGTTCGGTATCTTTATACGATGGACATTCTAGATTACATTGCTAAAGAAGCTGAAAAAAAATGGCTTTATCGCTTGAGAAAGTATCTGATACCTTCTTTTATATTGTATCTTTTAAATAAAATTTGATAGATTAGCCTATCGCGGCAGGTGCACACTCCTTTCCTGTCTTTTGTCTACTACTACTAGGGACTTATCTCTTATTTCCTGTTTAGGGTTAGACTTCCGGCTACTTCTTATGTTTCTTCGTCTCTTTCACTCTCAGTAGCTCCGTTGTGTCTTAGTGGCATTATCCCCTTGATTGGGATTAATTGATTTAAAAAAAGAAAGAAATCAGGCCAAAAATGGATTATTTCTGTCATATTTAACTTAACACTGCTAAATACTCATTTTCCTGCCTAAATCGAGCTCAACATCGGTTACGCGGTCTTTAGATGGTGACTTATTCTCCATTCTGAAACCTTTTCATCATAGACCTAATGCTTTAAGCCTGCTGCTACTCAGTCGCTATTTGAATGGCAAATGTTCAGATGAGTTCCGCCCGTTAAGATCTTTTTAGCTAGAATATGTCACACTACTTCCACGAAGTTGATTCACCCTTATGTCCCCCGCGTTCTACCTGTAAGGAGAAAGAAAGTTTCTCTTGGACACCTTTTTTCCCAAGAACATATATATATATATATATATATATATATATATATATATATATATATATATATATATATATATATATTAGGACACTGATGGCGTTCCCAGAACTACGTGCATGTAGTTTCATATGGTAACGCATCTATAAGGAAGTACTATAAGCAAGCTTGAAATTCAGTGTATGTCATATCGCCGAAGTGTTATCAACTTTGTTTTTCATAGTGTTAAACATGTTGGATTTCCTGCCAAAGAAAGTGTATTTACGAGGAATTTTACTTCACTACTTTATTCAAAGGAAATCTGCAGCTGAAGCACACAGAATTCTTGTTGAGACTTACGGCGACCATGCTCTGAAAAAAAAACAACATGCAGAGATTGGTTTAGACGCTTCAAAAATAATGATTTTATGTTGAAGATAAAAAACGCTCTAGCGCACTGGACAGTTTGTAGACGAAGAATTGGAAACATTATTTCATGAAGACTCATGTCAGGCGCAAGCTGAATTTGCGGAATCATTAGGAGTTGATCACAAAACAGTTTCGAAAAGGTTGAAAGTATTAGGAATGATTCAAAAACAAGGATATTGAGTGCCGTATGAGTTGAATCCGAGAGACGTCGAACGGCGTCTTGTCACATGTGAACAACTGCTTCAACGGCAGAAAAGGAAAGATTCTTTGCATGGTATCGTGACCGGCGATAAAAAGTGGATACACTACGATAACCCTACGCGTGGGGAAAACCCAGCCATGCATCAACATCGGCGGCAAAGCCATGGTTCGGAGCTTCTGCTCTGCATTTGGTGGGATCAGTTGAATGTAGTTTATTATGACCTGCTCAAACCGACTGAAATTACGGAAGATCGCTATCGACTACAATTGATGCGTTTGAGCCGAGCAGTGAAGAAAAAACGAGAAGAAACACGACAAAGGGATTTTGCAATATGACAACGCTAGGCGACACGTTGCAAAACGGGTGAAAACGCTTAAATGGGAATCCTACCCAAGCGCTGTATTCACCAGACATTGCCCCATCCGATTATCACTTGTCCCGATCGATGACACATGGCCTGTCTGAGCAGTACTTTGATTCTTATGAAGATGCCAAAAAATGGTTAAACTCGTGGTTAGCCTCAAATGACGTGTCGTTTTTCCGACGTGGAATTCAAATGCTAAGATGAGGGGAAAGTGGCTAGCGATGGACAATACTTTCAGTGACATGTTTCTTACTAATTTTTATAAATAAAACATTAATTTCCATGAAAAATCAGCGAGAACTTATTCAAGGTCCTAATATTAGCGACGCATAGTTATGGATAGGATGAGGGTTAGAAAATTCCTCATCCGACCAAGAAGCCATTGCTTCCTGAAAATAATCATCCGATAAAAGTTTTGGTCAGATTTTTGTAGTTTCGGCTGATTGTTTTTCGGCACTCTCTTGTGTAAACAATTAACATGGCTGAAGCTTTCTTTGGCTACTAAACAAGGATAGAGAAACGGAGAAACCAATATATAGGAACAGACTGGGATAGATAGATAGATAGATAGATAGATAGATAGATAGATAGATAGATAATGAACAGTTGGAGATAGATAGATAGATAGATACCTTCATTTTCTGCATCATTTCCTCGTAGTGTCTGCGCACGTCCATAGAATGTGACTCTATTTTCTTACTGAGATCTTGGATCACACCAGGACCTGTAGCATAGAAACAAACAAACATTATAGAATAAATGTCGAGGTCGAGATGCCTGCGAAGGCGAGGTAGGAGGGGGCTTTGTTAGCTTCAATGAAAAAATTGGGTGCGAAAGGAAAACATTAATAACAATATATGAAGAATGAAAAAATCCAATACAACACTGACGGGAGTAATGGTGCCGATGTCAGTTCATGGATAGTTAACGAGGCTTTTAATTGAATTAAAAAAAAAAATTGTTCAACCTGCATTCAATTTTCTCCTTGATTCTGTCTCTCCTTGATTATGCATATAACAATTCTATTCTATCGTTAATGCATCCATTATATCTTGGACGCTGACAATCGTTTTTTCTCATTTTTCTATTCATTTGCACAATGAAATCATCAGCTATGTATTTATATACTGAATTCATTAGCAATAAAGTTTTGTAATGAGGCCATCGTATTAAGAATGTATTATATAATTAATTTATTTACATTATTTACATTATTCGGACTATTGTTCTCATCTTTCATGCCGTTGTACGCTCCGGCCTTCTTCAGGTGGTTGGAACCCTTTATTTCGCTCACTGGGGTAGACTGTTCTCGTTCCACGTGCCATGTTTGATAGATGTCAGTTATCAGTTATCTCCTGCTAATTTCCCTCTGAAAGTTCTCCACTGCCTTAACCGGGTATTGAACTCACACTCTTTGGGTCCTGTCACTGGATCTAACCAACGCCTTTATCCACTGTGCCATGTGTCCTTGAGGAACACAGGAATTTCTGGGTATTATAAACCTAATGTCTTCAGCAACCATTTTACCGGTGCTCATATTGCAATTTTGCTGTTATTTCATGTTTTTATCAGAGCTCATATTGCAACTTTGTTGTTATCATTGCTTTTCTCTGGCACTCCTTATTACTGGTTCCCATATTGTATTTATTTCTATGCTTGATCGGCTCAGGAGATGTTTGTGGCCTAACATATGTGCTGATTCCTTAAGTTTACGAATTTTCCAATGGTGTTCCTTGTCTATGATCTCAACATGATCCCAACCACCTGAAGAAGGCTGGATCGTACAACGGCCGAAACGTTGTGATAAATATGGCGACAAAGATGAGGACAATAGTCCGAATAATGTAAATAATGTATATAATACCTCATCTAAGAAATTTAGACATAATTAATTTATTATATAATAAATTCGTTGTATTAGCTGTCATCATATAATGAAATCATTAGCTGTGTGTTTATATATCATATTTAGAAGCACTCAATGACTGTATGTAATGAAATCATTAGCAATATATTTATATAATAAAATCATTAGCAATATATTTATATAATGAAATCATTAGCTGTATATTATTTTTTTTATAATTCCCCTTGTTATACCTTTGGATGTTTTAGTTAATTTGCCTAGATATCTAGATATCAACACTTTTATCGATTGCTTCATGTTTCCTTGGGAATATTTATTTAAGAAGACCTACTGGTTATCATCATCGTCATCATTCCCATGACCAATTGTGATCGTGGGATCCCAGCGCAGCTGAACACCTCGCCTGTTCCCTCTACATATCGTTTGAAAGATAATATATTGTACTCCTTCATGTGTAGCGTGTCTTGAGCTAGTGAACCAGGCGGAGCCCATTCCTCTTCAGTTTAAACCATAATCAATGTTCTCCAACTTGCAGGCTAGCTTTGATCACGGATACGTGGGTGTTGATTTCGCTGAGGGTAACTTTCCGTCCTGGATCTTGACGTCAGTCTAGTGATCCCTCTTTCCGAGGATGCTGTGTCATCATCGCATTGGCGACATACATAGGTATAGGGCCAAGTCAACTATTTTCTTAGATGACCATTGACCCTACAAGAATGTTCAACTGCCATTTGACATGTCTTTTATTTTTTTATCCTGCTAGTTTCTAAGTGCCCGCCTCACCAGAAAAGACTGATGGATAAACCATTTTACAGTTTGTTTTTTTTTATTTAGAAAATAATAAGAATATGTAAATGCTGTTACTTCAAGTCACAATCATGGCTCTCCACAGCTTTCCTTTTTTCATCTTTGATTTCTCAGGTATTAGAAAGATAGTGTAATGATTTCCTTTGGTCATATTCACGATTTGGAATTCAGAGATTTCCTTTTCTTAGACTAGGTGCCACGCAAGGTGCCATGTAAGGCTAAAGAGCTTAGTCTAGCCTGCTATTTGACCGATCGCTGAAAGGCTAAAGAGCTTAGTCTAGCCTTCTATTTGACCGATCGCTGAAGGGAAAAGAGATCGGCCCTTTGCCAGACGCGGTCGGAATTTGAACTTGCTTGCTGATTCCTCTTTCCGTCCTAATAACCTCCACACTACCCGCAAATCCCGAGCAAGGACTCACATCGGGAGATTGGAGGCTTTGAGGAGCGTAAAAGCACATCTTAAATTTTGTTGTTCCCAGGTCCAACCTGAACCGGAACAGTACCACCAGTTAGTGTCCCAGCTATGAGCAAATAATAAACCCAAAACAAAAACAAAACACAGCAACACATTTTATCTATAGCTGAAGACATGCAATTGCGTTTAGAATACATTTAGTTGAAGCCATAAAACTGTTTTCTGATTTAGATTTCGGCATTAAATAACACAAAGAGGTGTTGACATGCAGCTAAAAAACAACCATCCAATCAACATGAAAGAACGCTTTCATGACATTAAACCATATAATATCGTACAATTTCTTTAATAAAACTGTAGATCAAAATATAACTTCAACAAAACTACACCATTTCTTCTAGCAATTATGTCTACACTAATATGTATATGCACAGAAGCTGAGTAACATCTACCATGAATTCAATTGTGAAAGCAGAACAACATATCATATATTTATTACTTTAAAGCTCACAAGAAAATTAAATAACATATAAGGAGTTGATAAATTGTGAATCAAATCAATCTATCACACTAAAATGGCGTACGTGCGGGGAAATATTCAGACGTTAAAGATTGTATGAAACGAGAATAGGAAGGGATAATGTAATAATAAAAATGAGAAAGCTAATATTTTGGTTGATGTATTGATTATGAGGCGTCAAGTCAGTTACACTGTAGGTGCAAGTTTCTCTTTCATTTATTCATGTTGAATACTTGAGAGGAGTATTTTAAGAGAGGATGGAAAATACGACCTCCAAATACGAAGGCGTATTGGAATAGGTAAAGGTGCCTTCCAAAAGCTAAGCAAAGTATTACGAAACAGGAAATCTTTTTTAGAAAAAAAGAAAAGAGTAAAAGAGGCTGTTGAATAATATCGCTCCTTCTATATGGCAGTGAAAGCTGGACAGTTTCCTCATCGATGAAGAAGACTTGAAGTAACAGAAATGTAGTTCAACCGATGGATACTGACACTGAACATGTGAGGACGAAGTTTTAGATGAAATAGAAATAAAAAGGCGATTTTATTTAGAATCAGAAAAATACGGTTGGGGTTTGTTGGACATATAAATAGAAAAGAAGGCTTAGAAAATGTGGCACTTGCAAGTCATGTGGAAGTCAAGATAGAGGAAAACGGCGCATAATCGACCTAACGAGCTTGTGTAAATGGTTTGCAGAACAGAGATTAGATGCGATAGCAAAAAAGACTACTAAGAGCTACAAAGGAGAAGAAGTTGTGGAGGGCCATGATCGGCCACGTCCTGAATGGACACGGGATATAGAAGAAGACAGAGAAGAAAAAACATGACACAAACAAGAAGAAGAAGACTGTGACGTTACCTTCTGCTATCTCAGTTGTTTGGCTGTGTGTCAGCCTATAAAAAGGATTGGCAGTCGTTTGACATTAGCACTTGAATTGGTAAATCATGTCGAAGTGAATTTGCTAGTTACACATAATGGAAGAAAAGTGTTTCGGCTAAAGTAAACATTTTTAGCTGCCGTCTCAGTAAATGTCGGTTCAGCGTTTCTTGTTCGAATCTCACCATCGCCGGTTTGTCAAGGAAGCGACTTCACGATAATTATAGATTCGAACGAACGATACCATTTGGAAGTGCCTGAAAACTAAACCACAGGTTGATTCTAGCCTAGCCATGAGAAAGTCACAAGTCATTTTGAATGAATGTTGATTGCTCGTGTTCAAATTAGCGATCACGGCAAATTATGCGTTTTCACCTAGAAATTGTAATTACAGTTCGGTCGGTATAGTTTCACTAAAAATCACTGGTTGACTCTGTGGATGTTGGACAAACTGAAATGCGCTTGAGCAGACGTTTGGAAAAGAGATTAGCTCACCACCTTAACAGATATATTCGGATTGCTAGCCATACATCAATCGGATACAAGTACGTTTATAAGGCAAATGGAGTGGCCTTAAGCCCACGTCGATGAAGAGTTAATTACAAGCTTCTCCGCAATGGCGAGTAAAAGATGCAACAATTATTATAACACTTCCTAGCTTTTTTTTTAAATCGGAAGCAAGGCAGTAAATGCAGTGAAACCACTAAAACGCAAAAGGTTACAGAATGGGAAGAATTAGAAACATTAATGATGATCGGAAACAGAAGAGATCAACCAGCTGGACAGTAGATAGCGATTGATATTGCATTTAAATTTTTGAAGATCAAAGTTGGTTGGAAAGCATGGAGCCGGAAGGGAGTTTCGCAAGCAAGAAGGCCGAGAAAAGAAACTATTAGCATAGAACTTACGGCTACATCTAGCAGTTTTGACTGTAAATTGATGAGATCTCGACGCCAGTCTAGTGTTGCGATTAAATTCATAAAGTTTAATTACCATAACGAAGACATCATCCGAACAATTATCATGAAAGTATTTATAGAGAAAACCATAGAGAGGCAGGCTTACGGAGATAGGAAAGTGACTGAAGCCGAGATGCCAGATTAGGACCGATAATATTGCTGATTCTTCATTGGATCTTATCAAGGAGCTCAAGGTAAATAACAGAGACATCGGACCATCTGTGGCAGCAATATTCTTAGCCTGGACAAATGGTAGATTTATAGATATGTTAGATAGATTC